TTTGTAAGCCATAATGCATGAGTTTTAACCATTTGGATTTGGTTGATTTGGATATTGAATCTGTTGAGGGATATTGATTTGGTTGATTTGGATATTGAATATGTTGATGGATATTGATTTGGTTGATTAGGATTTGGATATTGAATTTGTTGAATATTTGAATCTGTAACTTAGACATCACATATTTTGGTGAATGAATAGGTCGTTGAATATTGAATTGGTTCATTTTTGAGTTGTGTTATTTTGATACCGAAATGGTGCCTACGGTATGGTACGGTACCAACTTTGGCAAACTATAATCTCATACCAAACCATACCGGTTTTAATTTCCAATATTGGTAGCGGTACGAGCCCAATACCATACCGTGCCCACCCTTAACTTGTAGTTTACATTGATTTAGGTTTCCTAATTCTAAAGTAAATTACTGAAACCAAGGCCCATACTGATTTGTACAGAGTCGGCCCAAAACCCAAACCAAATTCTTCTCCTTTACGCTCCGCACATCGTCGGTGTCTCAGTCATCATCACTGTCATCACTCGCACAGCTGCAGGAGCTTCTGCAAGCAAGAACGTCATCATCAAACATGGACCCACTCTCTGCCCTCCGCGACTTCACAATCCGAGGCGAGTTGGAGAAGATCGTCCGAGTCAACGACGAGTTCCGGTTCGACTCAGACTATAGCTTCCCCTGCCACGCCGAGACCGCCTACCGGTCCAAGCAGGGCAATCTTTATACCCTCGAAACTCTCCTTTATTACGTCACCAACCACCACCTCAAGCACACCGACTACATCCAGAGCGCCCGCACCCAGGGGATCCCCTCCGTCACTTTCCCCGACCGTAAGCCCCTCCTCGACTACCTCACCGGAAAGATCTCCTCTTCCGACTCCATCGAATTCCTCCTCCCCCCTCAAAACGACGCCGTCCATCCCAAACTCCCCAGTCTCGATCCGAACGTCAACAGCGGCATCAACAACGACAGCAACGATTACGGTACGACTGATTCTAGGGTTTTCAGTCAAATTGAGACCCCGGTGGACTACATGTCGTTGATTTGCTCCGGCGAGAGGCCGTTGAAGGACCGGGAGGGCTTGTTGGAGTGTAAAGGGAGGAACTTTTACGGCGTTTTGACTTCGGCAACCAAGCGAGAGGAGGAACGACAGCGTATCGAGTCGCAGCAGAGGAAAGACGGGTTGGTGGCGAAGAGTAGGCTAATGGGTTCGGACGAGAGGGGTTTGACCGGGTTCGGGGACGAATCGGGTTACGACCCGAATCCCAAGCCCAAATTGCACTTGAAGGGTGGTAAAATTGGGGAAGGTGTGCCCATAATTTTGGTGCCCAGTGCGTTTCAGACGCTGATTACGATTTACAATGTGAAGGAGTTTTTGGAAGATGGGGTTTATATACCAACGGATGTGAAGGTGAAGCAAATGAAGGGGGCTAAGCCTGACTGTGTGACGGTGCAGAAGAAGTTCAGTAGGGATAGGGATAGGGTGGTAACGGCGTATGAGGTCAGGGATAAGCCCTCGGCGTTGAAGGCCGAGGATTGGGATCGGGTTGTGGCGGTTTTCGTGTTGGGGAAAGAGTGGCAGTTCAAGGATTGGCCTTTCAAGGACCATGTTGAAATTTTCAATAAGAGTAAGTGGAGCATTTCTGTTCTGGGCTTAATTTGATTGACAAATAGTTATCTGGGTCATAAGGATATTTGCTTTCTGAGTTTGTTTATGCGATTGTTGAAACTACATTGTTGTGTATGTTTGTCTGTAATGCAGTCGTGGGGTTTTTCATGCGTTTTGAAGATGACAGTGTGGAGTCAGCTAAAATTGTGAAGCAGTGGAATGTAAAGATCATCTCGGTGAGCATCTTGAGCTGGTTTGCTGCTTTGATTTTAGTCAGTTATGTTAGTTTGGGTCTTGCTTTTGTAATTCGAATCATTGTCACTGCTTCTTCCACTTCATTCTTTTCTCTGTTTGTTCTGTTCTCATTCCATGTGAACATATATTCTAAATCTGCAGATTAGCAAGAATAAGCGGCATCAAGATAGAGCCGCGGCATTAGAGGTGTGGGACAGACTAGAAGAATTTGTACGGTCACGGTCACATTCTTGATGTGCGTCAAGTTTTGGGGAGAAAGATGTATGCAGCTATCTCATGTTGGAGATCACTTGGATTTTGGTGCTCCTGTTTGTAACTTTAAAGTTTAGTTACAAAATTTTGAGGATATTATAACCTTATGTTTTTAGCTGAGTGGAAGTTATATCAATCAAGAGAAGAGTACATGGAAAGATGGTTGGTTGGTTGAATATCAAGGGTAGATATTTGAAGATGGATTTGCCATTTTACAATTTATTCAAAGTCTTGGCACGCATTTGGCTGCTCTCACAGTTATTTTAAAGGATTTCTAATTTATCTTTGAACTGATTGAGAAATAGCAGCCGGCTTCCTTGAATCAGCTTCTCCTGAGCTTCTTCAGCCAGAGTCCTAGACACTGCTTGGCTTGCTTGGAATTGCTGGATGTTTTACATATTTGCAAGCTTTGGAGTGTTCAAGACCAACCATCATCTCCGACCGATGCCAAAGCCAACCAGAGGGGCAAACCTTGTCATACAGAAAATGCGTTGAGTGGAACTGCTATGTGGCTATCCCTGAGAATGGAGATTGAAAAGCTTATTTGTATTAAAGCCCTAATTTTGTTTATGCTGGTGTTAAAAGTTGCTGTCTTATATTTTCCGGCTCCTTTACGGACGCCTTTATGTAATGCCAGTACCCCTGATTGATATTCAGTATCATAAATCTTGTATAATTGATGCTTTTCAGTGCAACAATTTTGCTCTTGGCAAGTGCATTTGTTTTTGTTATGCTCCTTCTGTACACTCAGAAACCAGAAACCTTTATTATCAAAAAAGGAAGAGAGCAGGATGCCTCTTCTGTAGTACAAAAACATATATAAACCTCTCTATTGAGGTCACAATGAATAATAAATTACATGCATATATCTTACTACTGAATTCTAAACAATAATGGAATACATTAACAATCATCAAGAGCATTATGTGTAACTCGAAAGGTTGGCCAACAGAAAGGAAAATCAGCACATTGAGAGGGTAGCATATGCCGCAGCCAGAACAACAAACAGTTGAGTTGTAGACAACTTGATGGAGTTTCCAGATGAGCCAGCTTCAGTTGATGGTACATTTTTGGATCCAGTTCCTACACAATATGAACATCATAATTTCAGATGGAGCAGAGCTTTTAAACTTTGCTAAGGGGGAAAAGAAAAGAATACAAAACTATTTTATTCATGCATAGCTGAAAGAATGATATGAACTATTTTGTACCTGAAGGACCATCACTTGGAGATTCTGGTGTTCCTGCTGGAGAGTCAGCTGGAGAAGCAGCTGCGCATTTTTAGCAGTGTACAATTAATTAGTAGAAGATTAGCATCAACACAAGCCAAAAATCAAAGAAAATAAACATCTGCAGGCTTACCGTTACACTGGCTGAGGGGTGGAGTCTGAACATTGCAAGCACCTGGTAATGCCAGAGCCTGAGTTTGATTGACATTGATCCCGAGTGATGAGCCACTGCCGTTAAGGACCTCACACAAGCACTGTGGAGAAGAGCGGACGACGCTAGCAAGCTGTGAGCAGCATCCTGAAGAAGGGGTTGAGGAGTTGCCAGTAATGTAATTGAGGCAAGGTGACATACTGATGATCACATTGGTACAACTAGACTGTGCTGCTGCTTTCGCCAAAAACATGGTCACCAGGACAAGGACCAAACTCATCTCCATCCTCTGTGCCATTGCAACAATTAAGTTCTTGAATTTGTGTAGGAAATGCTTGAGAAGTTGTAATATCTGCACTGGGATTTGAGTGTTTGATTAACTTGGTGAATTTGAGAGGAGGGGCATGTGCCTTTTGTAAGGGGGCAAAAAGAAGAAACAGATAAAATGTTGGCTTAATTGGGTAACCAACTTCTCCTACTTATATTATTTCATAACGGTTTCCTTTGTACTTATGAAGCTTGGAACTTCAACATTTTATTCAAATGTTGTGGCTTTGCTGGCATAGGACTAGTTTGGAGGCCGGTTATTGGGTGACCAACTTCTATTGTTTTTGGGGATAAGTTAGAGGCTGGAGACTTCGAGAAATTGTTAGAGCAAGAAAGCTAAGTACGTAGGAAGCAGGTTTTGGAGAGAAGGGAAATTACATTTGTTTTCTTATTTTTTTGGTATTTCAGATCAGACTGATGCGCATGGTTTATTTGACTTGAGCTCATGACTCTGTACAATGGGTGATATTGGATACCTGTCAATGAGAGTATGGTCAACTACTCTCTTATCCTGTATCTGCATGCGTCGGGCAGTATCTTTGCACACAAGTTGGTCAGCAAAATGATTATTGAAGCCAATTCTTTGTTTTTGTTTTTGGGTGAGAGATTTAAAAGCTTCTCAACAAAATAGAAATCTGTCAATATTGAAGTCCTTATGCAAATTGGAGTACAAGTAGCATTTGTGGTTGAGTTTTGGGCTCTCTCAATACTACTAATTTCAGACAAATGTGAGTTATGCCACTTGATCATGATAGTGTGACCTCCTTGCATCCGAGTTCGAGTCCCTCTTCCATAAATTATAATAGTTTAAAATATCACATTATAAAAAAATATAAAAACTCTAGTTTTGGGATAAACATTACCCCCATTTGAGAATTTCCTAACACATTTGAGAGCTATTAACCAACCATATGAATCCACATGGCATCAGGGGGTTGGAAAGTTTCCTACCACCAGGTCAGCGAAAATGCAAGTCAAAATGGGCTCCATAGACATATGCCACATAATGCAAATCCCACCTACTCAAAAGTTCCAAAATCCCTTGTTTTCACAAAAGTTCGTTTAGGTAGTTGAGCTCCAAAACCAACTCACCTGTTTGTTCCCTCCACTTCTCCTCAATCCCCTTCATCTATAAATTCTCTCATCCTTCTCACCACCAAACACAATTCACTAAACCCATCTGACTCTTCTCTGATAGCACCATAAACTTATACATTTTACCAACTCCTACAAATTTGCTTCCATTTACAATTTCAGATATGGAGATTTCAGTGCCTTTTTTCCGTCTAGCTATGGCATTGGCAATGACTGTGGTCTTGGCTATGCCTGTCTATGGCCAAGTTGGTTCCCCTTGCAATGCTTCGGCAATTTCTAGCTTGTCCCCTTGCATGAGTTTTCTCACTAATAGCAGCTCCAATGGCACCTCACCAACTGCAGACTGCTGCAATTCACTAAAAGCCCTCACAAGTACCAGCAGAGACTGCTTGTGCCTCATTGTAACTGGAAGTGTTCCCTTCCAACTACCGATCAACCGTTCTCTAGCCATCTCTCTCCCTCGTGCCTGCAACATCCCCGGCGTCCCACTCCAATGCCAAGGTAAAAGAAAAAGTTTCTAATTTCATATCGCACTTGGGTTTTCAATTTCAACGTGATTGTGTGTATCTTTTTAATATGAATACTAACATGATGTTTATACTGTGCAGCCACAGTTGCACCTATTCCTGCTCCAGGTACGATTATTAGCGCTTTCTTGCGAGTTTGACATGTTATATTATCAATGGGACATGTTACATATAATTCAGATTAATAGTCTGACAAAATCGGATTCTCTCATAAGTGAACATTAATTTCTTATTTTGTTATGGTTGTTAAGTTGGTGAACTAATGTTGACTAATTGTACTTTTGGGCAGGTCCTAGCTCCCTTTCGCCAACCCTCTCTCCTGGAGCTTCACCATCTGGTCCAACAGGTAATCTCTGAAATTAGTACATTTTCAGCATAGCTGTCTGTCTCATTTAAAAAGGCAGATGTATAATTTTTTCAAGTGTCTAAAATTGGTGACACACTTCTTGTTGATTCCCCATGTATGTTTCTCTTGAGCAGCTTCCTCTGTTCCGGAACCAACCTCATCTGCTCTGTCACCGGAATCCGACACAACACCACTTTTAACTCCGCCATCTACAACAGGAGGCTCTGGAGCTCCAACCGCAACTACAGGGAGCCGTCCTGTTCTGACTCCTTCGGCTGCCTTTACCTCTTATCGTCTCTCACCCTCTCTTATGCTTTTTGCATCAGGCATTCTGGCTTTGAAGTTTTTCTAGGCTGATTATGTTCATCTCTATACATATTTCCATACATTGTCTGAGAAATATTCTTTTGTTGGTGGGTGTGAGTGTGACTATTGTTTTTGGCTAGTTTAGATCATTGCAACCCATTTTGGGTGATTATTTATTGAAACTTGGGTTTCTGTATTGTATAATTTGAACCAGTGCAAATAAAAATTTGTTTTACTTTATCTTGGATCCCTTCAGACTTTCAGTTTCAGTGAATTACTTTAAGAAGCTTGAAGCATGGGCTGCCATAAAACGTTGAAGATATATGATACCACATTTTTAAACATGGATTTTCAATCAAAATTAATCAGAGAAAGAAATTATGTGTCAATTGATCCGATTCACCGCATTCCGGCTTCGCGGTTAATTTTGAGTGAAAATGACTCCAATTTTCCTGAGTTTTTCTGCCAAAGGAGGAGTAAGGTGCTTGGGAAAAACCTAAAATGAGTTCAGATAATTGGTGTTTGAGTAGTTGGTCTCCGTTCCTATGAGTTCTCTGTATAAATAGTTGTATTATTTATATAAGCTGGTGAAGAACAAACTCATCTCATGTGCTTGGTTGGTGAAATTCCATTTCTTTCCACATTTCAATTGTGCCTTAGTCACAAATCAAAACCTCCTTGCTTGTTGAGACGTCATGTGCTTTGTTAATGCCTTGGCAGTTTCATGAGCACCCCTCACAATCCATGTGACAGGCTTCACTTCACCAACCCACCATGCAGGCCAAATAGCATGCATCTGCAATTACATGGATGAAAAAAAAAATCATTAAAAAGAGAAAAGCTTAGAATATCTCAATTCTTTTGTTCTCTGTCACCATTTTAACTCTGGTAGTGAGAAAGTTCCTCAACAGAGAGGTCACTGCATACATGAGAATGGAACTCAAAAAAAATTATTTGGTACTGATGAAACTGTGCATGAAGAGATTGGTTTTCTCCGGGATTTCTTGGATTTTGGCATTTCTGCTTTGTGTTTCACCATCTGCAGTTAAAACCCAAATTCCTGGCTGCTCCATGGTGGGTCTAGACCTTGAGCATTGCTTGAAACCAAGCAGTGGCTTTATTTCCATGGATGATACATGCTGCACAGCCCTTAATCAACTCGTCCAAGCCGGGTATGGATGCTTGTGCTCTCTGATAGCAACATCCCCATCTCTGCCTCTTTTAGGCACCCCCCTTTCATTGCCATTATCAAATTGCTACATATCTGCACCTCCTTTAACTCAGTGTCAAGGTATATATATAATTATGCTGGATTCAATTAAGCACCCTTAGATGCATAAATAAAATTTACATCCTTTCTTCCCCACTTATTTTGTACAGTGGTAGCTCCAAAGGCTGAAGGGGTTCCACCAAATGGCCCTCATGAGGAGATTGCACAACCTTCTGGTCCAACTGATCACCGGGTCGCGCCGGTGGCTCCGGTTGAAGTGCTGCAGGCTCCATTGAACTTAACCAGCAATGGAAATGCTACAGTGTTAGAAGCAAAGCAGCCACCAGTGACCAAAAGCACTGATGATATATCAAACAGTGAGGAAAAGACCAAACTGCATCCACTGCCAATGCTTTTGCTTTCCTTGGCTCTTCAAGCTTGTAAAGCATTGTATTAGTTGTAATTATCTATTTATCTGTGCAATAAAAAATCAACTGATAAAGTAATCTTATAAATAATGATTGATTTAAAACTTCTATAAAATCATCAAACTGTTTAGTGTTGAGGCCTCTTCTTGTTACAGTTAGTTTGGAAAAAAAACTACCAACTGTCAACTGCCTCCAAAAGCCTAAACCTTGGGTAGTTGGTTAGATAGAGATCACATTCTTTTCGTTATTAAACAAACTTAACAGCCTTCGCACAGAAGCCAGAAAGGGTACTTTCGGAAAATCAAAATTCCTCTGTTTCCCGCCATTTCTCTCTCAACACTCAAAGCATGATCACCACCACCACCGCCCTGCACCGGTGGCTCATGGCCTTCGTCCTAGCCTGGACACTCGTCGTTCTCTCGGCAGCAGCAGAACCACCGCCGCCGCCAGGTTGCGCCGACGAGCTCGTGAGGTTCTCGCCGTGCCTGCCGTACGTGTCGGCTCCGCCCAACAACCTCTCTGACTCGGCCCCACCCAAGTGCTGCGACGCATTGTCGTCGTCGTTTGAGTCCGGCGGCGCCTTGTGCCTCTGCTACTTGATCCAGGACCCTCCGATGCTTGGGTTTCCGGTGAACGACACTCGCGTTCTGTCTCTGTCTTCCACTTGCCCTCTCAGCAACAATGGCACAAGCACAAAGAGCGCTGATAATTCTTTGGAGTCGCTCTGCTCAGGTTCTTGACTGTCTTCTACATTTTCTTTTGGCCAATTTAGGGTTTTATTTATTTATCGATTGAAAAATTACCAATCTTTATTTCTTAAAGCTATGAATGTAAATACGATGAAATCTGGGTTCGAAATTCTAATCCATTGGGTAACTGCAACAGGGTCGCCCGAACTCCCTCCACTCCGCAGCTCAACGATTTCAGGGATTTCAAGTCCTTCTCCTTCTCCTTCTGGTACCCTAGTCTCTCACTCACTCCCTCCATGATTTTCTTGGATTATTTATTTACCTTCATTTGGATTATTGTTCGTTTTTCAAGTACATTGAGATTTGAGAAATATGCATGTGAGTGAATAAATGGGAGAATATTGGGTTGACTAGCTACCTTTGACTTAGGTTTGTGTTCATTATTTTTCAGGAGCTGACAATGCTTCATCTCCTTTGATGAGCTTACCGTCAGAATCAACAAACAGTTCAAGCTTGCTGCCGGGAAAGAGATCACCGACGACAACTCCACCAAGCTCAGCAGTAGAACCAGCTGGGGTGTCTACAGCAATGAAGCAAATTTGCAGAAGCAATACTTGGTTTCTACTTGCCGTACTGATTTTTCTTGTTCCCATCTCCACTCACCTGTAGTACTATATGCTCATCTGATCATACACCTAATCAAGCATACGTGTGTTACTCTGTTACATTGACATTCATGAATTTGTATATTCTGATACAAAGTTCTGCTTAATTGTGGGATGATGACCTGTGATAATTGAGCAACGAAGTCTAAATTTCTTTAGAAAAGGTATTAGGAATATCAATTCAATATGACAGTAGGCAAATGAAATCCACCACTCTCATCTATCTTTTATAATTGTAAGATAATATGCCAACTACTTGAAGGCTATTGTAAGTAACTTCACCAGCATCACCTATAAAATCCACTTTCACAGCATACACAATGCATTGACTGCGGTACTACTTGGCACTAGCTTCACGAATCCTGCTTCAAAATCCAGCTCCACCTAGAGCCACAGACTCATGGCACACCAAAAGCGAAACAGGAAAATATATTTCCAGCCAACAATCATTGTAAATCCTGGGATTCATAGTATATGAAGAAAGACAAATGCTTTATTTTCGCATTATATGTTCAGAAACTCAGTATTTACTTCCAGCCATCAGACCATTCAGCTTCATCATCCACGACAGGTTGGGGAGCTTCTGTTTGCCAGGACTCTTCCATGACAGGCTGGGGAACTTCTGTTTGCCAGGAGTTTTGAGCCCACCCATCATCTCCATAGCACCAAGTGTTTCCTTCATTGTTTAAGAGATCTTCCTGTGGGTCCTCATAAACAAGCTCCTGCCTCTCAGGGGGGTTACAGCCCAGATAGGATGAGTTGTCTGCACAACGCCATAGAAGCCTGTTCCAGTTTGGGTCCTGCCAAAACCAAACAACTGATATTATAAGAAAATAAATCCTTGAATTGAACATATTTATTTATATAGACCTCAGTTGATTTGAGAGAATGTCCTGCAACCTGTAAGACAATGGGACAATACCTTGCTGATGATGTGCGGATTCCCAATTACAATTAGCAAAGCTTTAGCACGAGTAATAGCCACATTAAACCTTTTTGGATTGCTCAAAAATCCCAAACAATATCTTCTGTCAAATTCATCGTGTTTGATTGTTGATCGGACAGTTGATATTATTATAACTTGTCTCTCTTGTCCCTGAAATTGCTCAACACTTCCAACCTTGATGTTAGGCATCTCCAAATTTTCGAAAGCTTTCTTCAGTTTTAGTACTTGCTGCCGATAAGGTGCTATGATCCCAATATCTTCCTCACTCAAATTCTTTTTTGCAGTCAATTGCTTAGTGACCTCTACTACCTTACTTGCCTCAGTCCGATTAAACCATGATGGATTACTTCCTTCCCTCTCATCACAGCCTTCGATGCCAAAGAAAAGAACAGGGAAATCCTTGTTAGGAAGAAGGTCCACCCTTGCCATGAAGGGAACCGAGTCATCTTTACAAGCAATCAACTCTTGTCCATAGAACAACATATTAGGGAGATACAAAATTTCTGGGTGGCATCGATAATTTCTAACCAATTTTGTTACATAGCTTTTATCCCCATTACTATAAAACTCACATTCGAACATTCTCTCCAAGTATGATCTCCCCAAACCAAAGGATTCTGCTTGGCTGGAGTTTATGATTGGACCTAATTGCTTAGGGTCTCCAGCAAGAACAACTACTGTATTCCAATGGTAGAGATGTGATATCGGGATCATGGTTTCTGGTTCTGAAGCTTGGCCTGCCTCATCCAAGATAATATGAGAGAAGTGGCCTCGTGGGACACCTTCTGCATAAAGCAGAGAGGCACTCATATAGGTTGATATGATGATCCTATAGCGCCGGAAGACACGGAGTTCAGGACACTTGAAGGTATCTTCATCAAAGAAGCAGAAGTCAATATGGTTAGGATTGACATCTTCATAAGGACGGGAAGATGCATTGAGCCTGAATATTTCATTCTCTCGAACTGCTGTACCAGCCTTTGCATTGAGGAGTTTTTCCAGAATGTGGTCTGCTGCACTATTTGAAGGTGCACACACAAGGATTCTAGTATTCTTCCGAGTTTCATAGAGTTGGAGGATTGCTTCCACTAATGTCATAGTCTTGCCTGTTCCAGGAGGGCCATAAATCACATAAGGTGGCCCTCCTTTGCAGCCAAGGATCATCTCAACTGAGCACATCTGCTCCTTATTAGGTGTACAAGATATAGGCACCAGTCGAGTGCCTCTAATTATCCTTCTCTGAGAGGACTCAGATGGAAAAAGGAACATTATCTCTAATTTTTCTGCTGCATCAACCGCTTGATATAACCTTCTCATGGTGATTCGATTAAATGTAAATTGTACACTATAAAGGTTACCATCTCTGTGGCGTGCGTGAAATTCTGGCGGAAACTTCAAGTAAACATCATCAGCCTCAACACGGTAGATATAACCCTGAGCAGAACACATTAAATTTTTTTGGAAAGATAAGCTATAGAATTCTGGATATTTAAATAACATGAAAAAATTTGAGTATTGATGAAAAAGGCCAAATACACGCATTAGCCAACAGCTTGTGAAACACATGCATATGCATTGATTAAATTCTCTTTCTTCATGAATGAACTGCCCATGGATCATGAATGGCCAACTTCTGCCAACATTAAGGGAAGGAACCTTTCAACTATTTTCTTTGGCCAAAAATTACTTTAGAGAATTATTTCAAGTACATGACAAATTATAAAATATAAGAGTGGCAATAAGTTGTTTTAAAATATAAATAGTATGGGATGATAATACTCTAGAAGTCCAAATCTATATCGGTAGAGCTAAGCATTTATAAATAGATAGATAAATAAGTATAAAATACCAATAGCTAACAATCACAGCATTCAGTAAATGCATTAGATGTTTGGTCTTAATGATAAGATTTTGTTTCAGAAGGACAACCTGATACGGAGGAACTGTATCATCTGCATACTCAGAAAGCTTGGCAAAAACATAATCCCCTTGGACAAGTGAAGGCCTTCTCTCAGCAAGCCCAGGGACTTCAAGGGACAAAAATTGATGTCCTCTCTTCCTCAAAGTAACACCTACCATATCATGGCTTCTCATACTTTCCTGAAGCAATCACCAAATTGATCACAAATCAAGAACAACTTCATACAGTGTTGTTACAAAATGAAGAACTTACCTCTATCTGTATTTCCTCCATGATGACTAAAGTTTTGAAGTAATTTGCATAATTCCCTCTCGTAAGACCTTCGGTGACAACATAAGGAATCTGCTTGCTCTCAAGTAATTCTCTGATGTCTTTTGGAATGTCGTATCGAGGAAGCCTATTCTTGTACGGTCGTCGGTCTGTTACTCCACTAGGGCGTACAGCCACATGAAAACAATCTACAACAAGTGGTTTCTTTCTAGTGGCTCTTGTGTATGGTTTTGTTGAGGCCATAGATTGGGATACTTTATCTTCTGCTAAGAGAATAACAACTCGTTCAATCTGTTCAGTCTCCAAATCAAAATGCACAAAGGCCTTGTGCTGACCAATTTCCTTGGGTTTGCAAGATAGCCATATAGTCAAAGTATCTCCTGGCTGAAGCATTCTGTCCTCCAGAGAAGTAGACTCAAGGAAGGCTTCGATGGTTTCGACATCGGAGTCTGCAGTTGGAGGTTTCATCACAGAAAGCTTGAAAGAGTCCTCTGGACTTGAGGCGTAAATTTTAACACCGCATAGCTCCACCGGGTCATGGGTGGTGTTCTTAATAGTTATCTTATCCACAGCTGTTTCTCCTACGCATACTGATTGAGGCTTTTCACCTTGCTTTCCACCCACATAAGGGAATGGGACTGAAATAACAATTGGACCCTCTTCATTTGGGTTGTAACTACGCACCGATTTATCATCCTCGAAATCTATGAAGCCGATTTCTCCTTTGTCTCCAATGACAGAGCATTCCTCATCTGACTTATAACCATTTGTACCCATCACCAAACGGAGACTGACATGAAGAACAAACTGTGAGTTACAACTAGGGAAAAAATGAATAAAAAAAAACAAAGAGAGGAGAAGAAGAAGAAGAAGAAGAAGAAAGTGGTTTCTGACTAGAAGATTAAGGTACCCAATGATAAGTACTAAAGACCAACTAGTTCCTGGTCTAGCCGTACTTCTCTTCCCAATGTTGGAAGAGGTCCAAGTTCGAATCCCCCCTCCCCGTTGATCCAGATAAGAAAACTACCAGTCTACCAAATACCAATTTCGCTACCAAGGCTTGGTAAAGGTACATTGGAAGCAGTAGATTCAAAATCACAAAAACAATTACATGAAAGCTCCAACAAAGTTAGTAGACCCACAATCAGAAAAACCGCAGAACAGGGAGAGCAAAGTGCAAACGCGGCTACCGTGAAGCATTTCAACAAAATTTATATAATCTCACATCAATTCCAGAAACCCATATGAGAACCAAACTCTACATCAATACACGAACGCACGCAACAAACACATTGACAAATACAAACAAATAAACAAACAATAAGAAATCGCTATGAAAGAAAGCTAAGAATCGGTTGAGAGACAGACCTGAGAAAAGAAATGTGGAGGCCTTGATCGACAGAGATGACCCAGAAACCCACCGCTGATCAAACCTCAAAGACTAGATCTTTGAGAGAGAACCAGAGAATCCGAAAAAGGGTCCACTGCATTTCATCCAATAGAAAGAAAAAGGCAAATAAAGTTCAACTTAGTGTACAAGGAAGACTGGAGTGAGAGAGAGAATGAAAAGAAAGCCCTGGACAAACCTAAATACTAGTTTGTAAAAGTTGCAAACAAACAAATAACCTTGACCAATGACTTGATTTGTGAAGTGGCATTTTCCAGTTTTGGATTAATCTTGTCAAAATTCTTCGCTCTACTTCCCCCTTAAGTATTATCACTAGTGAATGAATTAGTGATGGATGGCCAAAACGTGGTGCAGAAGTTCAATTTTCTGCTGCTCAATACAGTGCTCAACATGGGATAAAGGGGTATCCTGTACTGTCCCGTCCCTGCCCAAAACTCATTTCTGTCAAGGTCGGATAGAATAGCCCAAAGTGATTGAATTTGTGTTTCCAGTTTCATGCAAGTTTTATGAGAGTGAACTGTGAGTATGGGCCCACAGCATTCAAATAATATGATCGTATAAAAATACTCACCTAGTCTAAAATACACTGCCCATGTTCCAAGGTTTAGGTTTTTGTTCATGAAAGATTTGTGAGACTTTACAAATGATAAAAGAGTTGACTTACTTTTTCTTTTCTTTTTGGACAAAAGTTGAGTTCCTTTGATAGATGGGCAATTGCAATATAAAACAACAATTTTAGAGATTTATTTGTGTAGGAACGCCAAACATAACAACCACCATTTAGGAGAGGTTCGAAATCCCCAGTCACCCAATGAATATTTGTGTTTGCATAAATAAAAAAACCGCAGGGAAAATAAGAAATCAAAGATATTTTCAACAAGGAAAAAAGAAAAGGAAATGAAAGATAAATGTAGGACAAAAACAAAGGAAGCACTTGGCTCCCTTTAACGAAACT